AGTAGCTTACCTGTATAAATCGTAATCCTTGAAAGGCAAATTCACAACTTTTCTTGTCCGGTTTACAATTCACGAACTTCATCTTTGGAAACAATTTGCGTGCTTCTGGACACTGAAAACATAGGATTGAAACAATGATGTAATGTAAGCACACAAGTATCGGTTATTGTAGCACTTATGAGCCAGAGCATGAAGAGCACAGTCAAACCCTTCACTCTCCACCGAGATAATGGGATATTATATTTGAATTGTGGTACGTTTCAATGGTATCAATATGCGACCAATTTCGAATATCAAATAGGAGGGGACTGCAGTTCGTAAAGTTTTACTCATTCCTGATGTGAACACCTGCTCCAGATTGAACGACTGAATTCCTACCTCGATTTTAACCTCAAATTCCTATTTAACATTAGCGTATAACCGTAATCAGAACCGCATCACCCCAGACTTCATTACATAGAAGATCCGTGCTGCAACGCTAAGTGTGTCTTGTTCGTGGAAACTCACTGGACTGTTCTACACCCCTTCCATAGACGCATAATTAATTCATGGCATCTATTACCAACAAAGAAAACAAAACAGCGCAACGGCAGTGGTCGACAGTCAATGTCGTTATTGGTTCCTTATCGTGATTACAGATTACACTCTTGAGGAGTTAAGTTGAATAAGCTATCGAAAACCGTTTAGCTCAATTCCTGAAGAACGGAAACAGTAAACACGATAGGGACCGATCCTACGACGTTTTGACTGTGAGTCCCGACCACTACCGTTGCGCTGTTTTGCTTCATAACTCCGTTCAGAGAATCGTTTAGCAGATTTGGAAGGTAGATTTGAGATCAGCGTTCGGAGAGATATCTAGGCGCATACACTGCGTCCCATAATTATACGTCCACCTAAGAATTTCCCAAAATCTCAGAAATACAGATGTTTCGAAAAAAGTCTCCAATGTGACAATGTATCAATATAAATACGCAATTGCCTATGAACATCAATTTTCTATTTGAGATCACAGGAATTTTTTCCAATAATTTTTGTGTAAAAGGCCACTCAGCCGACGTCCCAAAATTATACGTCCACCTCACGTTTATCGATTACTTTTCACTTCTGTTCCACGAAACTTTTTCATTGTGGTAACACTTCACTTCTTAAGGGGACAGCATAATAAAACTGCTGTTGGATTTTGAAAAAGGTTAGGTTGTCGCAAAAACTGTTGAACAACGCAATCGCGCCAGATTTGGACCAAATTCACGCCAAGCTTGAGAATTTTTCAGGGGTTTCACATGATATGGAGTTTAGAAGAGCTCTAAGGGTCTCTCATTACTTTTCGATGAAACAAGGCCGTGTCACAAAAGAAACATCCACTTTCATCCAACGGTGCTCTGTCATCGAATCTTCTTGAGAACTTTATGCCTCAACAACTTTTGTTTCATGCGTGTGAAAGGAATCCCAAGATCATTCTTGATTAGGAAAAGTGAGTGAAGGCAGTTCATTTGTGGCAAGGAATCGTGGCGAAAACTGGGCTGATTTTTGCATGATGGTGCAGCCCTTTTTTCTCTGCTATGCATGAGTGTTGTCTGTCTTTCTTTTCAACATTTTCTTTCTTTTAGTAGTGCTTCACTAAGAAAAAAGCCATTAAGGGAAAGGTAAACGTGAGAAGAGAAACAAACAAATGCCAAAACATATCGGGCAGAAGCGAACCTTACTTCAGTCGGCTCGGCTGCACCTTCATGCAAAAATCAGCCCAGTTTTCGCCACGATTCCTTGCCACAAATGAACGTCTTTCACATTTTCCGATCAAGAATGATCTTGGGATTCCTTTACATGCATGAAACAAAAGTCCGTTGAGGCATAAAGTTCTCAAGAAGATTCGATGACAGAGCACCGTTGGATGAAAGTGGATGTTTTTTCTGTAACACGGCCTTTGTTCCATCGAAAAGTAATGAGAGACTTTTAGAGCTCTTCTAAACTCCATATCATGTGAAACCCCTGAAGAAAATTCTCAAGCTTGGCGTGAATTTGGACCAAATCTGGTGCGATTGCGTTGTTCAACAGTTTTTGCGACATTTTTCCTTTCTCAAAATCCAACAGCAGTCTTTATTATGCTGTTCCCTTAAGAAGTGAAGTGTTACCACAATGAAAAAGTTTCGTGGAACAAAAGTGAAAAGTAATCGATAAACGTGAGGTGGACGTCGGCAGAGTGGCCTTTCAGACAAAAATTGACAAAAATTATTGGAAAAAATCCTAGGATCTTAAATAGAAAATTGATGTTCATAAGCAATTCCGCATTTATATATGACACATTGTCACATTGGAGACTTTTTTCAAAACATCTATATTTCTGAGATTTTGGGAAATTCTTAGGTGGACGTATAATTATGGGACGCAGTGTACATTCCTTCTTGAATGGCCATGGCGACCTGAGAGCCCTTCCTTGTAAGGCAAATTGTTGGCCATCAAACAAGAGAACACGTACACATAGATTCCGACCTCATTCATCAATGTTTACATATTGTGTTTCAAAACTGAGTTCCCAAACCTGCTCTCTCCATTGTTCTCTTCCCATCCGAGAGCTCGAAGCGTTAACGCTTTGATGACTTATAATCCCCTTCAGCTGTGAACCAAATCGTATTTCTAAACGTGGGTAAAAACCTGCAAAGATAACGTACTTGATTGAATATCATTTCGTAAATGTCACATCCTATCGCTTGTTTCTGTGACTCGATAGCTTTCCAAGAGCGTACTAATTGTGCCTTTTCCTCTGTGGTGAACGGATACCAATCCATGTGAAGCCTAAAAAGGTAAATAAATAAGTCGCGTGAAGTGAAATATAGCCTCCGTGCTTTTAAAATGTTGATGTTCTGTTTATTGCACTTGATTGTTGTTTTTTAGCTCCATATTACCGACCATGTCCACAACAAATGACGTTCATGTGATTAATGCTCTCTCTTGAAAAATGTATTTCCTCTCATAAAGGACACCTCTTTCTGATTCATTCTCGGGAACTGCCGATTCGTGCCACAGTTGTGATCCTTAGGGAAAAACAAAATCGTACTGTCGTCTCCAACAAAGTGGCACTCTCGTGCAACAAAATGTGAAATTTTTAGCCATATAAGAACAAGTTAGAATAAATAGAGGAGGAAAAATAGGGTAAGCTTACGCATAGGTCAAAATTTGCAAGGATCGTAACGAAATCCACATTTTAAAAGCGATGTTATCATAAATAGGAGACCTGCTTCCATAGAACCATTTATTGACACTTACATACTCTTATGTTTTCATTGGCTTGCTTCACAATGCCTGAGAACGCACAGCTGATTTTTTGCTAGCCCGAATGGAGAACTACGGTAGACGTGTACGAGCAAAAATGTTCAGGTCAAAAAGAGCGGCATAGGTGTCAGAAAGCAGAATGCGAGGGAAGCACAAATTGAAAGTGCAAAAGTAGTATGGGTATATGGAATGAGTGGCGGTGCAGTGCATGAAGTCATTCGGGCTACTCAAACCATTTGAGACAAATGCTGCGAAAGAGTGTCAAGCAAAGCACATGGTCAGGTTAGGTTGCATGAAGCCATCATAATTTGACTGCTTGAATCACCGAAGCCTCTTCGGAGCGTTCAGGGAAACTCAATTGCAAGGAATTCAGGGTTCTGTCTAGTACGTCTCGTTCAGTCCTTGACAACGAGGTCTGAAGACGATAAGGATTCATTCTTCAGGGTAAACAAAGTTAAGGTAACGAGATAATGTGGTCGTGAAAAATCAACTCGGCTAGAAAGAAAACTGCGGACACACTAGCATATTTGTGATAAGTTCAAATAGAATACAACATTGCTTCTCGGAGAGACAGCTACCTACATTGATATATGAGCGAATTTATGCAGGAAGCGAAATTCAAATTTCAAATTTATCACATGCATAGCAGATGTAAATTTAAGGTAATGACATGTAAAGGAACATACGAAACGACTACATACACAACGTATGAAAAAATCAAGGAACCCCAAAGTAGATCAGCAAGTAAAGCTTAATCAAAGCGAGGGATTACGATAAGTTTGGACTGGGTTCATAGTGGAAGTGGAGATGCTGAATAATGCCCCAGTGGCGAAAAAAGCAAAGAAATCCGTCAAGAAGGCGCAAAATGGGACCCCTTTCTTTGCCCGTTGACCTCCGATAATGGACGAGCTAGCAACCAATTAGAGGTCTTTTGCACATGTTATGCTGATAGCCACCATCATACCAGCAAGGCCATGCTTTGATTGGTAACGCGTTCCATGGGAAAGTTATAGGATACGCACTCACAAGCGGAATACCTCATCAAAATGATAATCGAAGGACGCTGCTGCTGGGGGCGGAGCACAGGCCGTGGCGGAGCTCAGAAAGGAATGGCAAGCCCAGTACGCTGCAACTAGCGCACCTTTGGCCACAAAAACGCCACATTTCGTTTCCTTTGGGCCCCTGACTACTGCTTCCACTGGTGCATGTACTTCCACGCTGCACACACACTTTATCGTAATCTTTCACTTTAACCATACGTAGGTAACGGTTAGTGTGGTCGGCATTCGCATCACCTTGCTCATTCTTTGGTACTCCGTACCAGCACAG